TTGGAAAAGATACTGTGGTGCCTTTGTCTGGAAAGGGCCAGAATCATTGCCTAATATTAGTTATGAAATTACTTGTGCAATCCCCTAGACTTTGTCTTCCCTCTCTGACCCTAGGACCCCAAAGAACCATGTGATAGAGGAAAGGAGACAGAGTAGGTGTAAGTATGACCAAGCAAATATATTGATCATGTGCGTCCAATGAGCGAATTACCAGGGGGCAGATGGCTGTCTTGGTTTCTCCTGAAAGGCAGTGTAGGGCAGAGCATCATTCCCTAGGATAGAAGAGCAGTTAGCTGTGGCTGAAGGCTGCGCCTTCTGCAGCTGCTCTGGGCTTCCCTTTCTGTCTCCATTCATCTCTTCCACGAATCTGTGCTCCAGCCTGTTCTCTGCTGGATTCGCTGCTGAGAACTGATGACACAAAGATGAGGGCAGATGTTTCCTGCTTTCAAGGAGTGTGTGTGCTTGGTGGAGCTGCAGCCTGCAGACCAGGATATAGATAGACATGAGGGTGGTACAAAGGGGGAAGTGTGTCATCCCACTTGGAGAAAGTGACCGGAGAAAGGCTGGACAGGAGAAAGGTGAGCGTCCAAGGATGGAGGCCACGCTTCTCCCCTAGCCTGCAAAAGCAGGAGCCAGCAACTCAGTTCTAGCCAGGAAATGGTTTTCCATGGCTTTCTCCTGCTTCGTGTTAACTTCGTGGCTGTTTGCTTCTTCTTAGTTCTTCTGTTCAGAGGTTAAGTGGAAGTGAAATTCGTTTATTTGGCTTCTGCCCAAGGAAAACTGAGGGAAGTAAACTGGCAAATTAAAGAGTTACAAAATACAGGGCAACCTTTTTTTAATTGCAGTTATTTTAAAGTTGTTATTTATTTTATGGGTGTGAGTGTTTGGCTGCATGGATGCATGTGCACTGAGGCAGACCCTGTGTCCCTAGGGGCCGGATGAGGGGGTCAGATCCCCTGACACTGGAGTTAACTAGGAGTCATCACGTGAGTGCTGAGAACCAAATCTGAACTATCCGAAGAGCAAGTGTAGTAACTGTTAGGCCATCTTCCACCCCAACTGCAAGGATTTTAAAATACATTTGCTTAGTCTAAAATTATCTCCTAATCTCCTAGGTTCTTGAAGTATTTCAGTGATGGCGATATTAGTGAAATGAGTTGAGAAAACGTTCTTCCACTGCTCTCCCCATTTCCCAGGTACAATGCTGCTGATTTGATGGCTGTCCTTCTGAGTTTGAAATTTATGCGACTATCTATAACTACAATATTTTAAAGCAAAAATGAAGTTATTCCACTGAGAGTGTAACTCATAGTCTCTGCAACTTGTTTCTCCCTTCTCCTCTTCAGCTCTGTTTGTAGAGCATGAACAGTTAACAACAGTTTTCAAAGGGCAGGCTTTTTAATTTCCCCGTGCAGAAAAAAAAAATGCTCCAGCGATAAGTAGATATTTCTTTGAGTAAAAGGAAGAGTGGAAGAGGTCCATACTCAGCTTTGAGGACGGTCCTCTGCTTTCTACACTTTTCCCAGTCATGCTTTCTGAGTCGTCAGGTTTTGCACATCTGGATATATTTATCCCTTGCACCTAAACCTCACTTCTTTTTCTTAATATTTATAGTAAGCTTTGTGTGTGTGTTTGTGTGAATGTGCACATGTGATCATACATGCAAAGAACAATGGCTCCCTTTTGTATGGACAGTTGAGGCATCCCTAGAGTGGATGTTACCTGGTGTGCTTGCTTCTTCTTAGTCTCAGCCATTTCCCTCTCTGGACTAACATCATCCTCCTACTGAGTCTTCTGTCACCTCTGCATCTGGCTGGCTTCTGCTTATTTATTCATTTATCACATAGCTACTGTCTTAGTTAATTTTTCTGTTGCTGTGAGAAAATACACTGGCCAAAGCAACTTAAGGGAGAAAGGGTTTATTTTGGCTTGCATATTAAGGGTATGGTCCATCATAGAGGGGAAGTCATGGCAGAAGGAGCTTGGGACAGCTGTCACAATCTGTTCACAATCAGGAAGCAGAGAGAGATTATTGTGGTCAGCTGGCTTTCTCCTTTGTGTTTAGTCCGGCACCCTGGATGGAGCTACACACAACAGGCAAGTCTTCCCACCTCGTTTAGCCTAATTGAGATATTTGTCTTGGTTAGGATTTCTATTGCTGTGATGAGACACCATGACCACAGCAACTCTTATAAAAAAAAGACATTTTATTGGGGCTGGCTTGTAGTTTTAGAGGTTTAGTCTATTATCGTCATGGTTGGAAGCATTGTGATGCTCAGGCAGACATGATGCTGGAGAAGGAGCCAAGAATTCTATATCTGGATCAGAGGAAGCAGAAAGAGCGAGAAAGCCCAAAGACTTGGTCATTTGAAACTCTAAAGTCCCCCCTCAGTGACACATTTCCTCCACCAAGGCCACACTACTCCAACAACAGGTTTGGTTTGTTTTTTTCAGTTTCAACTTTAGACAAACTGGGTCACCTGGGAAGAAGGGAACCTCAACTCTGAAAATGCTTTCATCGGGTTTGTCTCTCGAGGCTGAGACATTGCCTGGCTTCCAGGGACTGATGTGACTGAGACAGCAAGGGAAGGAAACAATGGTAGACGCGTGGTCTCAAGGACACAGAAGGCTGGGACCTCTGAAGGAGAAACCACACAGCGTGTTTAGTATATACAGTGGGACAGGAAGACAGGGTTATGGCATCCAGCTGAATAAGGGTAGGGGCAGTCTCTTTAGGGGAGCAATCTTCAGGTTGTAAACATCCAGGGTGGGTCCTGGAGAGAAAGCTGTGGTGGACGTTCACTGCACACACTGTCAGCCTCCACACCTGGACCAGATGTGCTCAGTCATCCTTTGAGCCTCATGCTGTGCATTTGTGCATGGACCCGAGGCTATGGTCCTTGACATGACCACGCCAATGATGTGTTCACTCAGGCCTTTACACGCTCAGGGCTTCCTTTACTCTCCACAGGTAGACAAGTCCATTGGGGCATTTTTTTTTCTTTCATGATTGGTAGGGAAAGGTCTGGTTCACTGTACCCTGGGGCAAGTGGTCTTGAGAAGCCTAAGAAAGAGTAGCTGAATATGAGCCTGGAGCCGAAGCCAATGAATGGCACACCTCCATGACCCCTGCTTCAGGTCCTTCTTCCAGGCTGCTGGCCTGGAGTCCTTTCCCTGACTTCCCTCTGATGGATTGTAAGCTGTAAGATGAGAGACTCCTTCCCACAAGTTGGTTTTGTTAGTGTTTAATCAAAGCAACAGAAACAAACTAGATCACTCCCCATGTTCCTTAGTTCACGTTCCTGACAGAAAGAATCTGATGAGTCCAGCGGACTTCAGGTCTTTGGTAGATTGCTGAATGTGCCCTTTGTTCAGGCAGATAGGGCTGGAGAAGGGTGGAGGACTTGGACACCGTGACTCTTCCCATCCCTGATCTGTTCAGCATCTTCTGGAAGGATTTCCAGGTTTTACTGTGCATTTGTATCATCTCCCACAGGGACTGCAGTGATTTATTTGCATGCATTAAATATTCAGTGGATATCAATATAGTCAACACTTGTTCCCATGGTATTGGGCTCTCTGTGGGCAGAGAGCAAGAATGACAGCTGAAGAGATGGCTCAGTGGTTAGGAACACCTGCTCTTACAGAGAACTCTAGTTCAGCTCCCAGAACCCTCATCAGATGGCCTGTATTGCCTATGTTCCAGCACACACACACACACACACACACACACACACACACACACACACAGAGAGAGAGAGAGAGAGAGAGAGAGAGAGAGAGAGAGAGAGAGAGAGAAAGAGAGAGAGAGAGAGAGAGAGAGAGAGAGAGAGAGAGAAAGAGAGAGAGAGAAGTTAAAAAAGAAAACATGGATTTTTTAAAAATAAATTCTTTCCATGTCACTGCTCTATGCTTACAGGATATGTATTTCTGTCGGGACTCGGTGGAGTATTCTAATGTCACCTTCTGCTACCCCTGCTCTGCACGGCCGGCTCTTGCTGACCATTGCTGCTCCCTCAGTGGTTTTCTGTCTGAAATGTCACCAACATCTCTCCCTCATCTTAGTCATCCTTTATCTTCCCTTTCCTTTCCCATGGCCCAAAGACAACGTTGTCTCCTGCTATAGCTTTATTGTATCATGTAGTTTACACCTTTGGCCCTTGCTCTCTGATGTTCTTTATAGGCTTGTTCTCTCTATTGGACTCTGAACACTTTCAGAATGGGCAGCCCTGTTGCTCATCATCACCCCATAATACCAGGTACAATGATCATCCTAGAGCCTCAAGTAAATTTTATGCTTCACACATGGATATGCATTTTACATATTGTATGTGTTTTTTAGGCAACATACAGAGTTCCGAATGCGGAAATCCTGATAACAGGTTTCTAGCGATATCATGGCAGTTTCCTGACCAGTGCATGAAGAACAGTGTAAATTTGCGTTGCACACCCATCAGCATTCAGTAATGAATGGAGATAATATCAGGTGGGATCCTGGTTAGAAAGCTGATAAACTAAATCCAAACTCCCTTTCTCAGAACTTTGAAGAATTATAAAGAGTCGTTTTGAAGATGAAGACTTAGGAATTTGAGTACCTCTCAGATGAATTTACTTATATATAAAAATGGGACTGAAAGCATAGATGTATTCTTGTAAATGAGAGCTATTCAACTTTAGAATTGCATTATTCTAATGGTTCTAACTAATAAGAGTCAACTATTATATAGATGATATGCCAAAATCACCTATAAAAATTACATTAAAAAACATACAAAAAAATCCTCCGTTTTTACAGTGTTCCTTGCTTGAGAGCGAAACTTCTAATAAGAGATGTGTAAATACATTTAATCATCACTGCACAGTGGTTCTGTTTCTTTAAGAGACTGTGGTTGTTAAGTCAAAAGATCATTGAAGCATATGAGGGTCAATAAAAGAATAAAACCACTGGTTAGCAATTCGAGTACAAGGAACTTGATCTCAGTGTGTGTTCGTGTGCTGCTCAGAGTCAACAGAGGAGTGCCAGAGCCTTGGCTGCTTGCTGCTGCTCTTCAGGATGGTTTCTGGCAGAAAAATTAAGCTGGTTTTCTTTGAGCTTCTTGAGTTTGCTGCCTTCTCCGTTCCTACCCTTGTGTTAATGGAACAGTTTGCTGCTGCATATCAGAAAACAAGGAACGGAGCTGAAAGAACGCACTATTGGCTCATTGTTTCCTGCTCCATTGCCTATGTGGCTGCAGTGAGTCTCTTGATCTGGGTTCCGATAAAAGTTATCTTATTCAAGAAGCGGCATCTTTACAAAAACATTGTAGGATGGTAAGTAAGAGAGCTCATTAGCAGGGAGTCCCGCCATGCTTTTAATTCATGAATGTGATGTGTACGTGTGTGCCAAGCATATGAACTTAGCGCTAATGTGTGTTAGATTAATGATGACTTGCGTTCACTGTCTTTAAATGTATTGATGTTGTGGTATCTTTTATATCTTCTATATACAAATATTGATGTTATGCTATTGTTACATTTTCTATGGTCTTTTCTTTTCTGAATAACAAATTGCAAGATATGTTGGTTTGAATGTTGCCAATACTTCTCAGCACATTGAACTGTACAAAGTCTCCAGAGTTGCCCTACAGACATCATGATCAGAAGATTAGCAGACAGAATTTCACTTTTGTGTCAAACTGAAAGTAACATCTCCTTCTAAGAGTTTACATAGTACTTCGTGGGTCTAAGGCACAATTTGGCCGATCATTAACTGAAATGTTTTAGGAGCTTGATTACTAAGATTAAAAAATAAATAAAAGAATGCTTAAAGTGTTGGTAAGTCATATTAACCCTTGCAGGGAGAGAATATGTCTATGGTAATACAGAAGCACCTAAGATAAAGAGTTGATGTTGCTAGGTTCAGTGGCATATGCCTATACCCAGCGGTCAGGAGGCTGAGGTAGCACAATCCAGGGGTTCTAGGTCAGGGTGGGCTACATAACAAGACCCGACTCTCAAGAGAAAGAAAAGTGAACACAACAGCAACAACAAAGTCGCCTTACTCTGGCGTTAACTGTCAGCTTTGACTGGTGACTTGAGAACAATCTCTGTTCTTACTACATTTTTCCTTGTAGGTCTTCAGATCTGGTTCTCACTTGTCTGGGAATTCTTTATTTCCTCTGATCAGTTAAATTCTCTTTGTTACTTTGTTGCTGATTCTTGACTTTACAGGTGGGCAGTGTAGAGAGAATTTGAAAAAGGAAGAGCTGAGCGCTGTGATATAGTTTCAGGCAGCAATGTAAAAGCCTTCCATGCAGCGCCAGGGTGATCTTTGGAAGGATGCTGACACAGAGAGCTGAGTTAACCCAGGGCCTCTTAGGTACTGACACTGGATGTGGCTCCCTGAACCTTGCCAGGGCACTTTCTGTTCCCTGAGGCAAAGGCTTCTCAGACCTAAATCATTTTGTGGTTGGCATCGCTTTTGTCAGTGGAAGGCAGAGACTTTCCAACCCTAGCTTAGGTTCACAAATGGAATGTCTTAGAGGTGGACCATACACCCCAGTTTCCTCAAACTGTCCAAGACTGTTAAAGGATTTTGAGGCCATGGTGACAATTCCCAGTGATGGCGAGAGTGAAGTAGGACAGTAACCCACTGCAGGGCCTTCGTCCCCAAGGCTCTTGGCTTTGATAGCTTGTTTGGACCTTGGCTCATTTCTCTAGCACCTTATGTTCTTAATGTCATTCAGATGCCCAACTTTCACATATAATTTATTATCAGTATGATGAGTATTAAGCTCTAATTGATTTTTCACAGATCCTGTGTGTTGAGGATGTTATACATAGATTTTTATTTCTTAATTCTCTGCCACCTCATACAAGTATTTTGCCTCAAAAGGTAGATATTTTTAATGAGTGTATCAGTATTCCCAAAAGGAAACTGATACTCAGAAGAACTTAGCAACTTTCCCAAAGCCAGTCTAGTAAGTGACAGAACTGAATATTAGACATTGGCCTATCCCAGTCCACGCCTGGTATTCCAACCACTATTGTAGACTATCTCTGATGAACTTGGGTCTCTAGGGCAATTGAGCTTGAGGAGAAGTCTTTTGCTCCTAGTGTTCGATGCATGTTGTATTCTCACCCCTTTTGCTGTCTGCCCCAACTTCATGGTACACGTCTGTCCCGAGTAGTCCATACATCAAAGGGTCTTGGTTTGTTGCCACAACTTCATCTCTCAGTGATCTCTTCTGGGGAATCCTTTCCCTGCCTTTAGTTTCTATTTGTGGGTGAGGCTGGCCCCAGGTGCTGTAAATGGCTTTACATAGATATCAGTCTATCTGTAATTTCGGTGAACTCTGCAACTATTTCCTCATGGGCTCATTCATGCACTCTATCTAGTGGTGACCTCTTAGGGCCATTAAGGAGAAGAAACAGCTCATGAAAGAAACTTGTAGGCATTTTATATGCTCAGCAAAGCTAAATTTAGACTTTATGGCAGCTCAGTGAAGTTGGGTGCTGCTGTCCTCATGTTCTATCCGGAGAAATAGAAACTTCATGCGATAGCTTTGTTAAGAGCCACAGCTGCCTTGAAGTGGGTCTGGGATCTGCAAGCCCTGAGTTGTCAAATTCTGTGCAAGTCCTTCTGTTTTCAGAATTTTCTTTCTTTCTTCCTTTTGATTTTGAAGGCCAACCATGGTTTACTTAAATGGCATTAGAATATATTTCTCCAAAAGATGTACATTTCATTAGTACTCATAACATGATTTCCAAAGATATTTTGTCATTTGAACACATGAGAGGCAGCATCGTGATACCATTATAACCTCAAAGTTGTTTTTGTATTTATACACGTGCAATCATATACAGGGCATTAAACCTTAGTTGCTACGTGAAGATAGCTTTAAGAAAGAAGATAGTTTTAGCCAGGTGTGGGTGGTGCATGCCTTTAATTCCAGCACTTGGGAGGCAGAGGCAGGGGGATCTCGGAGAGTTCAAGACCAGCCTGGTCTACAACAGCTAGTTCCAGGACAGGCCCCAAAGCTACTCAGGCTCAAAAAAAAAAAAAAAAAAAAAAAAAAAAAAAAAAAAAAAAAAAAAAAAAAAAAAAAAAAAAAAAAAAAAAAAAAAAGTTTTAAAAAACAGTAGAGGGGATCACAAACATTATGGTTTAAATTTATTCTTGATTGTGTAATGTAGGACCCAGTCAAAGCTCAATAGAGGTTTGAGTTTCAGTAGTTTATCCTAAGACAATACCCGGTTGCAAGAAAGACCATAAACTGAGACTACCCGGGCACCACCCAGGAACAGACCATCCAAAGGAAATTCCTAACGTTCCAACCATTGTAGATAGCATCACCTGCCAGCACACGCCCATCGCTTTTCAGCAGGACACCAGTAGACAAATTCTAGCCAATCAGGATTGAACCCGTCACCTCAAGCCCTGCTAATGTAATTTTTCTGGTTCTTGCCTTTAAATAGTGCTCTCTAGAAGGTTGGGGTACCTCCTCTTGCTGCTGTGCTGATGAGGTCCCTGCCAGCTGGCTTGCAATTATGTGCACGATAATAAACCTTGCTTTTGTATATAGGTGAGTCATTCTCCCTGGTGGTCTTTTGGGGTCCCCACAGACTGGGCACAACAATTGTTGAGTAACTAGGGAGATAGTTGTTCATATAAAGTTTCACAGATCCTTAAATTCATAGGTTTGAATTGATGAGACTATTTGAGAAAATCCCCCAAAAACCCACATGAACCCTAGAAAACTGATCTTCAGAGAGAGGGACCAGAGAACTGATAAGAATCTGTTCAAAGGACATGGGTAAGAAAGAGCAGACATGGACTCAAATCTCAGCTTTGACATTGTCTTATTTGAGTTATTTATATTCTCTGAGCTTTAATTTTCTCAAGAACCAAACAGGGACACTTAGTTTCCATATGGGAGATTAAAAAAAAAAAAAGACAAAAAAAAAAAAAACCCACAACGTAAGATTGTGTATCTAAAATTGCTATTCCGGTGCCTCGGAGCACTATGGACATCAGTGTTAGTGACTCCCATGAACTGGTTAATTCCATTTAAACTGTGAACTTGTTTAATCCATAGAGTAATCATGAGAAATGGACAATGTTATGATAAAACTGAAGCAAAGTAGATGCTGTCTGTGGTACTACTAGAATCTGAGGAATTTTGTAGGATCTCTTTTGTCGTTTGAGCATGAGAACCCATATAGTGATTCTCTCAAAAGCAACTTTTGCATTTACACAAGTGCTTGGAGTTTCTCTTTCTCTGTGACCCACTGGAAGATGCTCTGAGTTGACCAGGTGGCTATAAATCTTTTATAAAGAGGAAATGAGTCACAGAGCTGAGGACTTACACTAAGTCAACAGCAGAGACTGAACTTTCACTTGTGCAAAACACTTCCTCATTCTTTCAGAATCATTGTTCCTTTCTTCACTGCCTGTTGTCATTCATATGGATTAGGGAGAAGCTGGGTGGAATAGAGAAAAGCCTGTAAGTAAATACCCAAGTGTGTCTGCCAATTGGTAAGAGAGATCCTATCCTGGGTGGATCAGAAGGCTCACCAGTGACAGGGCAGCTCTGGAGGATCTGTGGAAATCCCCAGATTGCTTCAGGATCCAGAGCTGTGTTTCAGGGATTCTTCCTCCTCTTCTTCACAAGAGAATTCTTTCAGACTATGATGTATCAGGAGTCTGCAGGCCTGCAAAGTTGCAAAGGCCATACTTTGAATGACATTTTAGTTTGCTGTGATTTTGCTGTCGCTTTTTTAGGTAATGGGAATGGTAGTGGTGGTAGGTGTCATCATAGTTAAACAGGAACCAACACTTGATCACTTGCTAGGTGCCATGTGTACTTCCAGACATCTTATCTACATCTCTTCAGTCAACTCCCTAAACTTGATACTTAACAAGCATAGCTCCCCTCTTATAAATGAGGAAATTGAGTCACAGAAATTAACAGGTCACACAAACAAGAGGTATAAGAATAGCCCTTGGATGACTGCAGAGTCCACTGGTAAGACACACAGCATCTGTAGCTTCTGTGCTGTACTGCACAGACTGGCTAACCTGCAGGGAATGCAGCCCACTGTTTTCAGTAGGGTATCAGCAACCATTGTGTTATTATTATTGTTGTTATTATTGTTTATGATTATGATAGTGCTATTGAGGTAGGACCTCATGTAGCACAGAAGCACTTCAAACTTGGTGTGTAGCTGAATTCTTGAACCTCTTGCCTCTACCTCCCAATTGCTTGGATCATAGGAATTCACACCCACTCCCAGTTTTGTGCAGTGCTGGGGATCCAAACCGAGACCTT